ATAATAAATGTGGAAAATGGGGAAAAATGCTGCTGCAGTGGAAGAACTCAAGTGGCCTCCACAGAGACCTGACCTCAGCTAGCCCATTGTTTTTGAATGACTTTGAATGAGTTACTTTGAATTGCTTAATATAAATTATATGGCAATTTTGTAATTACCATCAAACTTCAATTAATAGCGCAGGCTTTTATTTGCTTCAATCACTGATCATAACCTGCCTTTATATGAGACAGACCTTTAATTCCTTGCCCAACAAAGATGGAAATATTATCAGACTGTTTATTTAAACCAATATGAATATTACTTGTGTAACAATTAAAACATATCAATTAGGAATCATTTATTTGGTCATTTAAAACTTTGGTGCTCATGGTTTCTGTTCGAACGTTACGTGCTCCAGCCTTTGAGTCCGCTTTTTTAAAAATAATTTCCCCCTGGGATTATTAAAGTATTTCTGATTCTGATTCTGATTCTGATACCAGTGGTTTCCAACCTGGGGGTCGGGACCCCCACTAGATTGACAAAGCTTCATGGCCATCACGAGGCCTTCTTGATTTTAAAGAGTGTAGTATCATGTTTTTCATTTCTCTGAAGAAAACTAAATGAAATTGTTATTTTTTTAAATTTAGATTATTATTTCATCTCTAAACTCTGAAGACCTGAACAGAAGCTATATTCACAGCTTCACTCTCTGATAAACAGCCTACTACTGTATTAAAAAAAATTACAACAACCAGAGAGCTAAGAAACTTTTGTCAAAAAACAAGCTTATACAAAAAAAAACACAATACAAAAGATAATTGTATAAAACGTTATTAAAATTACCAGGAAAACTCAATATTCACAGGAAATAATCTGCTCAAAATTCACCCAATTCTCTTGTTTTAGAAAAACTTCCTGCAGTTATTGGGTTCATTGTTTGGGTTCATTGTCCAGTTAACTAGTTGTTCTCTACTGTTGAATATAGTACTGTATATAATATAAAATATCCATAAAGTATGTTACTTATTTAGGGGTTGTCAGTTAACTGAATGATATAAAAGTGGTCTGTTAAAGAAAAAGGTTGGGAACCACTGTTATACACTATACTACAGTGTCCTTCCCTTCAACTGCAGTGTATTCAGTTCACTTTTTTAAAACTTTTGCCTTTAGCAGTCTGTTTAGAGGAGGAAGTTCTGGTAATGTATTTGGTCATTTTGTTTACCAGCAGCATAGAACTTTGAGTGTACAAAGAGAGTACAATTCCAGGTTTCTGCTCCCATTTCAAGGGAAGCTTCCAAGGAAAAAGAACCCACACATGTTGAATAACACAGACAATGAGTCAATTGATGAAACTTTAATGATGCCTGAGGCAAAATTTGCCATCGCAGCAGCAGAGGATATTCATAGAATGCAAATGTGATAAGAGCATCGGGGTAGAGGCGGATGTGCGGGAATGCATAATAATCTGCTCAGTTTAATGGCTGAAGGAATATACTGCATTGGCATGTATAAATGTAGGGAAATGTGTGCAGATGCTGTGCTGGTGTTAATTGCCTGAAATCACTAGAATGACATCAGGAGGATGCTTTTAATCCGTAACAACATGAAAGACATAAATGAAGGGATGAAACACTTAAGGTTTTAATCAATTTAATTTAATCATTTAATCAATAACCTCCCTGCAGATTCTAGCCCAAATGTTTTGACCTTAAGCTTGATGACATGTCCATGTGCCAGGAGGGGATCTATTAACACACACACCACTCATCTCTTTCTCTCTTCTTCTCCACACCACACCCACACCCCTTACACGCATTCACAGATTATTATTATTATTATTATTATTATTATTATTATTATTATATATTACATTGTATTATACTTTTTCATAGGCTGTACTAATTTTCTAATACTAAATACTAAATCTAATAATAATATAATAATAATAACATTAATCCAGACTTCATGAAGCATAAATGCATTTACTAAAACAATTATATTTATTGAGATTGTTTTTAAATTGTAATTATACATTACAATTAAAGGATCAAGAAAATGTATTTATCATTAAAAAACACAAGGTTGTACAACAAAACAAAAATTTGCACTCCCTATCACAAAAAATATATAATTACAGTTATAGCTGAATAACACAAACTAGAAATGAAAATAAAGCACCATACAGTTGTATGTACAGATGTATTCATTAGAAAAATGTGCCTCAAGCAGAAGCACTAGCACCATGATAAGGTAGAAACTGGCAAAATATCACACTTTATATCACAGTATTTTTCTAATCTGCCACTATAACAGAAGTACGCACACACACAAACAGAGACACATCAAACACAATGAAGTGATTTCCTGAACTGTTTACACCACCAGTGGAGATAATTCCACTCTTTGTCATTATGTTGTCAATAAATCCCTGTGAGATTGTGAACAACACAGATGACAATGTGAACAGGCATTACCACAGCTCTGTCTGTCAGGACTGTTTCAGGGTTGTTATTTGTTATTTTTCACGATGTGTTATAGCTGAGCGATGGGTTCAACTTTTGGCTCATAGATCACGCAGACTCTTTTTTTCTTGAGTGAAAGTGCAGTAAAAGCTGAGATTTGCATCTTGAATACACTGTCTAAATTTTAATCAAAGCTGGTGGCAGGGAAAGCAGTGTTGGTTGGTTGTTTGGTCACCGCTTTGGTCCTGAAACATCTTGATAAATACTGAATGGACTGCCATGAACTTTGGTAGAGACATTGTTCCACACTGGATGAATTTGAATAACTTTGGTGATCCATTAACTTTTCCTATAGCGCCGTCATCATTTTGCCCAATACTCTGCATTATAACCAAATACCTGCAAATCAAATTATATTCCCATCACGGTCAGTGTACTTTGCAGCCAATGGATTTTTGTTTTAAAAATGAGAAAACCAAAATCGGGAAAGAGCTGTTTGCTGACTACCATTTATAAATACAGGGAACAAATCAGGTTATTTTTTTCATTTTCTGTTTTTATTTTCAAAATAAAAACCCATTGGCCACAAAGTACACTGACCCATCTGTTCTGCTGTTCTTTGTAATTAGCACAAATTAGCAAATATACTAACACAGTGGACAAAGATGGCAACCATAGTGAACATTATAGCCGTTTAACATCAGCATGTTAGCACTATCATGCTGATGTTAGCATGTAGCTCAAAGCACTTTTAACCTAAGCAGGCCTACAGCCTCACTGAGCTTCTATTGTACTGTTGACTCTATATACTCATCACAGACTCAAAGGAAATGATCTGTGTCCAAACCTTGGTCCAGTGTTTCTCAAACTTGGGTACGGGTAGCCCTAGGGGTACTTTGGGGTATTGCACGGGGTACATGAGATTGTTAAAAAATGGTACACACAACCGCATCCATTGCTCAAAATGCCCCTTGTCAGAACATGCCACTGTTACTATAGGTCTTCTTGTTAGCAATGGTTCAGTTCCATCTAGTGTATCAGTAACCATGACAGTGAGCCAGCACACACAACACCAAGACCCTGAAAGTAAACTGTTATTTTTAATGCTATCAGTGACAGCTGTGCTTTTATGACATGCCATAATCTCGGCTGTAAAAAAGGTCTATTTCCCAGCGAACTCAGTTGTAGAAAGTCAGAAGGATCCAACAAGAAGCACTGAAAAAAGGTTGACTTGAAGATGACACTCAGTTTCACTGCTTCAATTAGCCTTTTTTGGTCTTATGCTCTTCTCTTTCCAATTGAGACTGCTGTAGGAAGTCAAAATAGCAGTCCATCTGTGACTGCTATTTTATCTGAAAGCACAGAAAAAATCAGTTTACTATTTCACTTTTTCTGCTTTTGTGCTGTCATTTCTGCAATTAAAAAGCCCATATCTGAGGCTGATTGGGTTTGCTGAGTAGTTTAAAAGTTTCTTGTATTGAATTTAATGCAGCACCTTTGGTAAATCTGACAACACAGAGACAAGGAAAAGAGGGATCAGAGGGTTTCGGATAAAAGCTTGGTATAATTATTATAATCATCTTCAGTCTGCAGCCTGGCAGGAATTCAGACACACAGCCCAGATCACAGAGTATTTCCTTCATTTAATTATGATTATGATAGTCAGAAAATGTTCCCTTTTAAATGTGTTTCATAACCGTGAGAACACCGTCCAATTACAGAGGTGGAGCTAACTATTTTTAAGTTGAAGGGCAGAATATTTTATCAGATGAGCTGTCAGATCTCAGCTCAAAGGTCACACTGCTCATCAAAGAAAAAACACAGTTGTAATGGAAAGGATGAACTCAAAATGCTATATGATTCATATTGAATTCAGCATGTGAAACCCTGGAAGCGTGGTTATTGAGTCTGAGTAAGCTGGAGGACTATACCTGTAAAGATTTGAATAACTTGTCCTTCCACAGGTGACGCATCAAGCAGCTATTCTTACCCAGCTTGAGGAGAAAGCTGGCAGGATTGGATCGACTTGGCTTCAAACACCAGCAATCTGCCATCACATGTCAACCAATAACTGAGTGTCTGTAAGCCTTGGACAAACGCTGCCTGTCTGACAAAAACACTTAGAGAAAAAAATCGATCGCATGTCCCTTGTGTAAACAGCGGAGGAGAGGCAGATGTGGCCACACGGCTGTAGATCATGACTAAGCTGTGCAGAAAGCACCCATCCCCCCCCGCCTCCAACCTTGCTGAAAATAGGGCGTATGTGAAAAGGACATTTCGTTTTGTGTGTACATTTAAGACTTTCTAAGACCATTATGTATGCAATTTAATACCTACTTAAAAAACACATTTTTCCCCAAAACACATTTAAAACACTGAAAACTGCAGCTTCATACAAGTAATGTTAACTTCATTAATCCGATCAATTTTTGATACCCTGTGTAGAGAGCAGTCTGTTGCCATCATTCCTGTGTGTGTTTCTTTAAATTTAAACCTTTGCTCGAGGGGAAACAGTCACACTGTATCAACTGAGCGCCACCACCATTTTAGGTCAGACTGAACTTCTGGTCATTGCCGGTCAATACGCTAAACTGCACTGTGCACTGAGTAGAAGATTAAGGCAAGATTAAAACACTCTTATAGCTAACAGCAACTGAGACTAACCTTGACACAAATTAACTTGCTGCATTTTAAGAAAAGACTGAAAATCCCATGAACCTTTTTATCTCAACTTTTTGAGAACTTAGTTAATATCTAGGCAGCTGTACTTTTCATGTTAATCAGCTTTTTAATCTAGACTACACACCATCTTGGCTAACTATGAATGCTACCCGAGTAAACCAGTCGGACTGCCCCGAGGTGAAGGTCCCCGTCCCTCTCTTCCTGACCATCGGCGTAGTGAGCCTGGCCGAGAACCTGCTGGTTGTGGTGGCCATCATATGGAACAGGAACCTGCACTCGCCCATGTACTGCTTCATCTGCAGCTTGGCCGCCTTCAACACCATCGCCAGCCTCTCCAAAACCTGGGAGACCCTGATGATTGTGTTCGCTGATGTGGGGCAGCTGGAGAAGACAGGCTCCTCTGTGATGAAGCTGGATGATGTGATGGACTCCCTGCTTTGCATGTCGTTCGTGGGCTCCATTTTCAGTTTCCTGGCTATTGCAGTGGACCGGTATGTATATAGGGCTTGGATTTGCCCGCAGAAGGTTTTAGATAAACGTTTTTTTGTAAACTGTATATTTAACAGCGTGAAAGATGGATTTAAATTTGTGATGTTGTGAATGTATCTGACTCCAGCCCGCTAATCCACCAGAATACCCATTTCAAAGGCTCCATGATGCTGAAAGCTATTTTGTTCCATTTCAAATCAAAGGAAAAACTGGCTTCAGTGACTGTATAGGGAAGCAGGACCACGGTGGGCATACTGCAGACTGTATAAAAGTGCTGAGCTGGCTGTTTTGAACTATTTCTGTGTGGATTGTGAGCCCTATAACCAATTATCCTCTGTGCATATTTAGATTCAAAGCATCAGGTCTCACTAACTAGGACTCCTGGGAGAATCTGGAAAAGTCAGAACCTATCTCTGGGCTCATGCAGCCACAGCTTATTAAACGCAGAGGTTCTGCATGGTTTACCACAAGTCATGTACACTTTACATTACTGTCCTGTTACTGTTCACCATGGGTTTTTTTTCACACCTTCCAGGCATCCTCATTTCAGATAATCTGAAAGTTCAGCTGCCTTACTTTTTGTATGCTATGACTTTGTTTTCCTGCTGGGTTGTGGGAATGCTTTTGGGAAGCTGTGCAATCTGATGAATGATAGTGGCCTGTGAATTATTGCACTGACAAAATAGTCAGTGAAAGATTTTCATTGAAGCTTTATGCAAAGGTTAGTGGATTGCCTATCTCAAACAAATGTCAAATCTTTCAAATTTTCATATAAATGGAAAACACTATCTATGAGGTAGGAATACAAATAAAACCTGTGGTGGGCTTTGAAAAATGGTCTACAGCAACGTGAAATCATGAGCGAGTTCATTGGCTTCAGTTACAGTCCTTTCATAAATTTTCCCAGCATCATTTCTGCCCTCAAAGGCTCATAAAATATGAACTAATTTTAAGACTTTCAAGTCTGCCTTCACTCAATCTGTGTTTCTTCTTCTTCCTACAGTGAGATATTTGAATGATGTCTCTGCAGAGTTTGACACTAGAAGGATGTTTTCAAATTCATCTGCTGAAAGTGAAAAGTTTCTCTGTGCTCATTGAACATCTGATTTTACATATAGTTTCTAAGTCAGTCCTGGTCCAGTATGC